TAAATCAGTTCGGAATGGTTTTGTTGTTTCATAAAATTTTCAAAGTCGATAAGCACAATAAATACAAGCTCGATATCGTAAAGTTCTAGCTCTAATTTATAGACGTTGTTTACCTGTAGACAAAGATACGGTAAAAGTACTAAAATAACCAGTAAATTTCGCAGTAGAACAAATTGCGATCTATCGTGAGGCCAAATGCCCAACGCTTTCGAAAAAGCTACATCGATTGTTGTGTTGTAATGTTCTTCGACCAAATGCATACTGCGCTACGGATAAAATGCAACTACAAAAACTCGAGAAACGCGTATTCTCATCACCCCCAGACTGGGTTCGTAATTTTGCAATTTAGGTTTAAATAATTTGCGAAGAAGTACGAGCGCTAGAAAATATTTTTTATTGAATTTTGCTGACACTTACCGTAATAGGTGTGCAATATACAGAGCGGACATAATCTAAATTACATAAATTACTTAAATTATCTAAAGTGCTCTTCGAAGTGTTATCATCTCCATTCCGTGATAATGTTACTCTATGTCTTCGCACATTTGTTATATTTTTCGCACCTGCGCGGTTGCCAACCACGTTCGGAAATGCGTCGAACGACCGAACAGTTCGTTCTGAACCATCGAACGCTATAGAGATAAAATGAAAATCGACGAATTTGCTGCGCACCAAGGTTTGACGACAAATTATAGTGACGTATCTTTTGTACACACGCGCACAAAATTATCTCAAACTCCAACACATTCCGACACAATTACTTAAATAATGTGTATATCATACATGTAATATGTTTTTTCTTATAAGTATGTAATTTCTGTTTCACGAATGGTGTTGTAAAAACTATAATATTTTTGTAATTTTTTTTTAAGTTTTAACTTTTAATTTTTTAGTTTAAACACAGACTCACAACTTACAATAGAAAATAATTGTTTACGTACTATTATACGTATAATTATTGTTATGCATATATAATTAGAATACACACAGGGTTTAAATATTTTTATATATTGTTCAAAAATATTGAGTGACGCGTGCAAAATTCAAGTCAAAAATGATTAGTGAGAGCAGCTGTATATCATGGTCATGTAGCTAAGCGAAGTGTTCAGAAGCTGAAAAGACTTCGAGGTTAGAAATACTTTTTAAAAAGCGACGGCTATGAATCAAATGTTTCATATATAGCATTTTCTTAATTACAATATTACTTATTTTTTATTAATTATTACTTCATATATAGCATCTCTTACCGTGGCGAGACTTTCCATTTTTGCCACAAATACACATCCAATTGTGATGCAACAATTCTTGCTTGTTTTTTGCATTAGAAACAAGAATAGTTTTTGCGACGATACCGGCATTAAATACCAAGAGGTATTGTATCTTAAAATAAAAACAAGAAAAAAAACACAGCTGTTGTACATTTTAAAAATCAAATTTTACTTACAATAATGTAAACATTTCATTATTGTAATCAGTGATCTTCTGTCCGATACACATTGTCACGAACATGTAAATTAGAATACCCATTATACCACGAACACACAGTAGTATGTTTGTCATGTTTTTTGACGTTGTAATAGCTTCAAGGATCTGCCATGTAGTAAGAAAATAATTATAAACATTTAATAATATATTGCTGAAGAAAATTTTATAACGACGGAAGTTTTCACGTTTTCTACTACATGTAATAATAAAAATAAAAAAAATCTTACACCATATACGTTGATGCTCAATGATATTACTCCGAGAATAAGTATGATGCAGAAGGGCAAGTTAAATAACGTTTCTATAATGCTGGAAAATCTTCAAAGATCACGAAAATATTATATTAAAAAAAAAAAACAAACAAACAAACAAACAAACAAAATATGCAAAACAAAATTAGAAAGTAATGCGATATACTAACTGCACAGCTCTTTTGTGCGCGATCGCAGCTTGTATTATCCCTCTACAAATCGCGCGTTCCTTCTCAGGATTCGGTACGTGCAACACGCAGTCCTCGATGCAGTACTGTATTCGATGTCTGAAAATGATATTCTCAACGTTAATTTGTGCTCGCGCGCGTTGTCGACGCGCGATTCGATTTCGTCACCTGACGATTTTGAACAAGCCGAACGAGTGAAATATTAATAATAACAATTGCGTCGACGTGGAGAATAGCATTGCGGCGCACGTCGCTAAGCATACGATTTCGTGCAGAACCATGGGATAAAAGTATTCGGTCTGAGAAACGAAGTATTCCACCGCAATAAGAAGGTGGCGTGGCCGAGGTTTGTCCAGCGGCGAGACAGCGTCAAGAATGATCGGAAGAAATTGCACAATGGTTAAAGCGATAATAACAAAAGTAATATACGCTACAAGAAGAACGATCCTCGTGAATTTGCGTGCAACAAAAATAATTGTAGTTATTATCAAAGAGCAAATAATTTCTCTTCCGCAGGAAGATTTAAAAATATTATGTAAAGAAGTGCTTCTTACAGAACAGAAGAATAATGTAATATTGGTTGTCGTGAGCGTTTTTTTCTAGTATATCGTTTTCTACCTTGTCGCGTGTCATCTTCCAGTCCTCTTGCATTTGGTTGTGCACATTCATTATCTGTCGTTGAAAATTAATTATTGACTTGATTAAAACCGATTTGCTTGAGTTTTGTGCGTGCAATCGCAGCTTTACGTGCGAGTAAAAAAACTTGGAAATAAAAAAAAACTCACTGCTTTTGATTTAAACGCAAAAACGACATACTTGATGATAATTATCGTGTAAAGACAAAAAATCGACATGACTCTAACAAAGACGGTCAAGTTGTATTCTGACGTAATAAAAACTGATAACTGAAAACACACAACGAACACGCGGATCGATCGTAAATTCGTGATTAGAACATTTTTGCTCTTACAAAATTATCGCAAACAAGAAATAAGCAAAGAGCAAACGAATTTTAAAAATAATATCGTTATAATATCATTATAGATAATTAAATATACATCGTTGAGAGTAAAACTATAGAGTTCTAGAATCTCATATCGTTATCGATATAAAAATAGATGCGCTACCTGTAAGCAAAGAAATGGCACGATTAGCATAATAATTAGCGCACGCCGCAGCAATACGAAGCGCGATTCATTGTGAGGCCAAATGCCCAATGCTCTTGAGATGTATTTATCGATCGTGCTATAATGTTCCTCGACCAGATGCATGTTGCGTTGCGGACAAACTTCGACTGAACAGCGAGAAAGTGTGTCTTCAACACAGATCCGCCGAAGTCCATCTGGTTTTTCCGAGGTATCAAAACACATTATGAGAAAAAAAAAACAAAGAGACACGTTACATAGCGAAATAAAACAAAATGACTTGTTGTAATATGCGTGCGTGGTATTAATGAAATTATCAGTATTATAAAAAAAGTCACGAGTCGATGCCTCGGTAAGTAAGAAAAAAGTTGAGAAAGAGCGAATTTTCCAAATTGCTACACGACGGGTTTACATCTTATTGCGTGGTATATATATTACTGAATTTATTTTTTCTATTTCTTGCTGTGCACATGCGCAATCGTGCGATGTATCGAGAGACGTGTCAGTCTGTTCTCAGCTGTCGGACGCTACGCATAAGTCGGATCTCGATGCCAACAAACAAGGAAACGAAGGGTTACGATAGCAAACACATTACTTTATGCAAGTATTTTCATGCAGTTGTTAATGTTGCGTTTTCGTTCGTGAAGAAATCGGATTAAGCTGGTTTTTTTCTCTTCGAAAAATAATTTGTTTATCATTGATGAAGCGTCAGTGAGAAGAAAACTCTGTAAGTTTATTTGATTAAACGTAACCGATTTTTAATGTTTAACATTAACTCTTCTGAGCTGATACTAAACTTTCATCAACTCACTCCAGAAAGATTGCGGAAATATGTAAACACGAAGATATAATGTCGAATATCAAAAACATATCGATATCTTCCAATTTAGACAGAAGAATATAATTTTGTTATCGGTTATTTGTTAAAAAAAAACCGCTAAACATTTTGAATTATAATTTGATGTGCAATCTATCATCTAAAAGATTTAGATTGACACTAAAAATGAATTTTAAATAAAACGAAGTACTTTACTACGAGAGTATTAAGGTTGTATTCAGGGTAAGATCTCAGTCAAAAGTTTAAGAAACATAGCGTAAACCAAACCTATTTTAATATTTAGATAATAATTGTTTGCTGGAATAGTATTATTTGTACTAAAATAAGTTACAAAAACTATTTATTNTACTTTTAATAACTACGGAAAAGTTTTTACGTATATTTTGTNCCCTTTTGATGTTCACTTTTGATATTTTTGAGTAGGATTATACCCTACGTGCAACGTAAGATAAATAAAAAACTGGAAATATATTAATCATAAAAGGTTATTAAAACGTAACAATTGATGTATAAAATTACAAATATAATTGTTTTATGTATATTAAATATATATTTTTATTACTTTTAACAAAATATAAATTTATATTTTATGTGATATTCTCGAAATGACTATTTTTTTCAAGTGGAATTTGTTTTTAAGATATTTATTAACAACTGCAAAAAGTTTCAAAATTATGGCATATCTACATCTACAGTTATTTTGTAATTTATATCAGAATATCGTGAAATCCCATAAGAACTCGTGTTAAATTAAAATCGTACTAACTTTTTAACAAGGCTCGCAAAGAAGCTGAAATTTTGCATAATTTCTTTTTTTTAATATTATCTACTGACTGACAAATTTCGAATAATCTGGCATATCTTTTATCTTACCCCGAATACAACCTTAAACTGCAGTCACTCTCGTGGTATAAATGTGGAAAAATAATTTAGCGTTTCATATTGTACTTATGTGCTGTATTTGTAACTAAATTACAAACCCGATATTACCGATGCGTTAATGTGCTAAGGTATCTTGCATGTACACAACTTTTTAATTACTCGTATACTTTAATTACTAGTACGTTTTTATTTATAAATCTCTTTGACTGCGCTATTGTGCAGCATAAATTACGGAGAAGTACGACATGGATGCGCTCACTAGCTGTAATGCGAAACAACATCATTTTGTGGTAAATGTCACTAAGAGGAAATTATTACACAATTGAGACCGACCGCAGTAACGCGTTTATTACCGTGGCAAATCCTTCTAGCGATAGAGTGAACGCACTGAAGATGTGCCGTGCGTAGGGCTGTGTGCCTCGTTGTAAAATAAATACTATCAACTTCTGTATCTGTACAGACGTCATGTACCAGGGACATCCGTATCTGTAAGAAAGCAAACGCGCAAGATTTTTCACACAAAACACGACAAATAAAATCTAAAGAACATCAGAAGAAACTAATAATCACGTTTCTGTAATAATTGTGCTTACGTTGCTGTAAAAATCTGATCGAAGTGATCCGTAATCAGCTGCGCCGCGTAGTTCGTCCAAAACATGTACATAAACAATGTACTGATATAGGAAACGGTGGTAAATATTTCCTCCAAAGAATGCGAGTATAACGCTTGCACAAGCTGCAACAACATGTGAACACATTTGTTTTCTAAGCGCAGACGCGATACATCGGAGAAAATCTATTGAACAAACTTGCGAAGTGTTTGATTTACTTACGCGTAATAAACTAAGACTCACAGACGCCACGCAAGCAACAATTATGAAGAAGTAGAATGTCATGAAGTTCGATTGTACGATGTCCGCGAATCTTCAATCAATATCAATTTAAATAATTTTTATATATCTCAGACCGGAAATATAATAAAAATTTAATTTTATAATTTTTTAGCCCCAGAGAGAGATCCTCATGTCGCGTAATAAAATTCATAAGAATGAATATTAGATATTGTGATACCAACTTTATAGCTTCTCGATGAATGTTCAGAGCGCTGATTATTCCATTTCGAATAGTATTTTGCGTTGTGATGTCGAAACCGTCGCAACCTTCCATCGCGCGTTCCATTCGGTAACTAAAAACAAGTCGACGATATTTCGATTTCCGAATTTCTTTACTTCGACATTGTTTTTTTTTTTTTGTTTTTTTTCAGAATCTGCACCGCGTGTATGTTTACCATGCGATCTTAAACATCGCGCATGTGTGATATCCGAATGTAAGTATCGAACATCCTATGCTCACTATCGCGACCGATCCAATAGTCCATCCCACGGCTCCGTAAAATAATATCGCGAAAAAATATTTTTCCTCGTCGATCAGAAATTCCATGCGAATGATAAGACGCCGTGAGAAAGGGCGGGGTGTTTGTGACGGAAAGATAACGTTCAAAATCACAGGTAAAAACTGTACAATCGGAATGCAACATCCGACCACCAGAATGCTGTTAGCGAAATAAACAAATTATACAATTAAAATAACACACATTGTTATTTTTAATAATATTGTGGAGAGATCGACACTTATACTCGTTTTCTAAAATTATCAAAAATATCAATTTTATATGATAAAAAAAAAAAAGTTACATACCACATTACAGTGTGCGATCGTGAATGTGTTGTGCAAAAAGTCAATTTTTTAAAATACCATTACAGCAAATCTCTATTCTCTTTTGTTTACTTACGTAAAGAGAAAAGCTAGCGTGAAAAATCTGGATATGTTAGCGTATTCTTTTACTATTTCGAATTCTTTACCATTCAGTGTGGCCCAGTCGTGTTCTATTCGTTCGAGACATTGTTTCACCTGTTGCATTTCAACCGCAAATATAACTCGAAAATCTTATTTACACACAATCGACGTCGAGTAACTTACTGTTTCGACATTACTGGAAAATGCCAAATAAGTTAGAACGTACATAAAGCTCGTAAAAAATAGCGAGAGAGCTTCGCAGATTACGTTTATACTGCAGTTCTCCGTCACAAGTCGTAACAACTAAACAGAAATAAATTATAATAGATAATAAGAGAGGTGATCTCGGATTCGTGTACGGTTAATCCAACAAGAAATAAATTATTTTATACAATGAGATCGTAGGTAGCAGAGAACAATCTTCGCGCATAAATCAATTATCAATATATATATGTGTATATATATATATATAATACACATATTGTTGAACAATTATATATATATATATATATGTATATATATATATATAATTGTTCAACAATATTCAAACTGCGTACAGAATTACGCACACACTTTACTCAGCGTTTCGCACGAGAATGTAGAGAGTATTATGAGAAGTACCTGTGACGCGAGAAAACATCCGAATATGCCGAAAAATAATACTTTTTGAATGTACACGAATTTGCCTTTTCGATACGGCCAGACGCCCACGAAGATCATACCTATTCGATTCAGATTGTAATACCGAGACTTGACGAACTTCATCGTTCCGCAAATGTCCAAATGTTTCTGAATTCGAAAACCGCAAGCATCTCTCGTCCATTTTTTCTCTTCTCCCGTTTACACGTTATAAATAATGTAAAGCCTTCCACTTTTGAAGAAACATTACCAGTCATTATATATAGAATCAAGTAATTCGGTCGAGCAACGAGTCAAATGACTAAATTGTCGAAATTGATCCACCACAGCGAGTGTAAAGACTTTTCCCACGGTGTGAATTCAATGGGGAAAAGTTTCGAAATATATTTACAAACAATGATTCAACGCAGGCGCAATACGAATACTTTACGGTCCGCCAAGTCAGTCTTACATTTACCGTTGAACGTACAATTGCAAAACGCTTTGTAACGACTACGTGCAAGTAAAACGTGCGCGTGTATTTTTTGACATATCGGTCGACTAACTCTGTGTGTAGCCGTCGAAGAATACAGATTCGAATTCTTTTGGCACAAAATATCGCGTCTACATTTCAAGGTTATCGAACCTTACATCTTATTATGCTCATGATTTTGCATTGTTTGTTGTATATTTATCTGTTTAGTTCAGATTATTGCGATGCGTGTGCGCACGCGAAAGAAGAATTCCATGCGAATGATAAGAATTCTTCGGAAACAGAAGAAAATATCACCAATACAAGACATTTTTCAGTTTATTTTTTTTTTTCTATCTCGTATTCGCTGGTACAGCGCCATGCACAATTCCCAAAGAAAGCCGAAGTAACATTTTTCATAAGAATTGAAAATAAAAAAAATTTATTCCTTTCCACTGTGACTATACAAAACAGTGACATAGGACATTGCAGCCTTTACGACCTGAAAGTAACACATTACTTGTGTTAAAAATAATTAGTGAGATTGAATTAATACTTTAATAATTTTCATATTTCTTACCACAGCAAAATTTTCCAGTTTACCCGCGAACATATTACCGATTGATAATGAAAACTCTTTGTTTGTTCGTAGTATTAGAAATAAGATAAGTTTTTGCGATGATACTGGCATTAAATACCACGACGTTCCATACCTAACAAATAAACCATCTTGCAATATTTTATTAAAACCTCAGACAAAACATTTAGTGAAAATAAAATTTCATCAAAAACTTCGAATTGAATGTATATCTTTGTTGTATCCAACGATTTAGTAACAATATACTAAGCTCCTGAGTGTAATACAATTATAAAGTATATGTTGTGTATGTGTAATGATACAAAACATGTACAATATATGAAGTACTTACGTATACATCACAAGTTCTTTATTACAATCTGTAAGCTTTTGCCCAACATAATGACTGCAAAACATGTAAAGCAGAATGCCTGTTGCAGAGAAAGAACACAATAGGAAGGTATCTATACTTCGTGATATCACTATCGCATCAAATATCTGTCATATAATAGAAAGAGAATAGTGACACAAATGATTACGGATTTTAACAGAGTTACAAAAACAGATTTTATACATACATATATGTAATGTACAGAAAAAAAAAAATATATTTTCAAGTAAATTCTCAAATACTAAAACCTTACGTACGCCGTAAAAATTGATAATCAAAGCTGCTAGAAGACAACAAGTTTCGAAACATAGAAAACCATTAAATGACGACACTACGCTATAGGAAAACCTTTAAAACCAAACACAGTAATGTTAATTGAATACATAAAACCATATACGTACTTATAATACATACTTATAATACGCGATTAATATTATATAGATGATATATATGTTTCCATTCATATTATTTATAAATATACAATATGTGTAATGACAAAATGTAATGTCTTAAACAAAAAAAACGAGACAAAGATAGAATATTCATAAATTTTATAGCTAACCATTAACAATAACCTATAGTTGTTGAAAGCGTTGCAGATAATTGATAAAAAAAAATATAAGATATGTATATTAGACAGCTACCGATTAAAAATCACAAACATATAAATATTTTAAAAATACAAGAACACGATAGAGATACTAACTCCATAGCTCTACGGTGCGCAATTGTGGCATGCATTATAGTAATGCAAATCGCATGTTCTTTTTTTGGATGTGGCATATGCACGCAGTTTTCAATAGAATGTTCTATTCTATATCTGCGCAAAACACGTAACAAAAACATTTTAGTTCGTAATTAATAAGTAATGAATAATAATTAGTTTTACCAAAACCTAAAAACTTATTAATTTCACTTGACATTTGTATTCCGCTTTTATTACTCACCTAGCTATTTTAAACATTCCAAAAGAATGAAAGATAAATCCTAACAATTGCGTTCCCGTAGCACACGCGATTATCCAACATACTGCGCAAAACACAAGTTCGTGTAGTACTATATAAAAGAAATATTTATCTTGAGCAACAAAATATTCTATTATAACGATAAGTTCCCGCGGCCGAGGTTTGTCCAACGGAACAAAAATATCGAGGATATTAGGAAGTAATTGTAGAATAGCTGTAGAAATAATTACGAGGCCTATACATGCTGAAAAATAAGATTTACTTTATTTTATTATTGTTTTGTGTTTTTAATATATCTTTTCAAACTCTATCTTTTCTTTGAGCAAGTAAATAAAGATGGTTTTTCTCACGAAATACTATAACGGTTCTTCTTACAGAATATAAGATTAATACAAATGTGACAAATGTGAGTATTTTGTTGTATAATATTGCTTTCCATCTTGTCGCGTATCAACTTCCAATCCTCTCGAATTTGATGATGAAAGTTTACGATCTGGTAGTGAAACAAGTCAAATATTTGGTAACATATGAAATGTTTCAATGTTGGGAGCCAACTTGTAAAAGAAAAGATGTAATCTTGATGCGTGTACACAACGTAAGAGCAGAACTTACAGCTTTTGATTTAAAAATAAAAACGCAATACTGCACAATCATTCCGACCACAGGTAAAAAAATTGATGCAACTTTAATCAATAATGCCATAGTGTACTCCGTTGTCAAGAATACTGACAACTGAAAATAATTGAATAGAATGCATATCTGTTTACATGCCGACAAAATAGCAACCTATAATTCTGGAATATTTTCTTATTTCTTTCTTATTTTGAGGTTTCAATCAAGTATTGAAGTTAGCAAACATATAAGAACACGTATATGTAAATAATGTAAAAAAAAAAGACTAACATAAAGATAATTCTCTTTTTCCTATCAATGAACAACAATTTCTTACTTGCATGAAAATATGCGGCACAGTTACCAAAAGAATTAGAAAACGTTTTAACAACACGATGCGTGACTTCTCAGAAGGCCAAATACCAAACGCTTTTAGGAACAACTTGTTTATTGCATAGTAATGCTCTTCGATCAAGTACATGATTCACGAAAAGTGAAAGAAAACTGAGAAGTAAAATGCTCAACGGTCCGTTGACTTTTGCGGAAATTCTTAGTTTTTCTTATCTCATAAAGTCTTCCGCGAGAAAACCACAACAAATAGCAAAACTGTTACACATTATACAAAATACCACCAACTGCATTAGTGATATTTTGTATAATGCGACACGTGTAAAGTGTTCGTTGTAATGTAAATGGGAAAAACTATCATCTTTATTTCTCGTGTAAAGAAAACAGGGGAAGAGTAAATTACGCAAATTGTTTTTATAAGTCTAGGTGGTTCTTTTGATGCACGTGCGTAGTAGCTCGTCTCTTTTACAATTTATCGATTTCTTCATCAGTCTCTTTGCAGCCGCCGAACAACGCACTTCGATAGAATGAGCTACGAGACGAATTTGCGAAAGAGCAACACATTTTACATCATGTCGCATGAGTATTTCCGCAAGTGTCACGAAGCATTCGTTTTGTCGAAATGGCCGGAGATTTCGAGAGCTGTGGATTGATCGATTTTTTTTCTTTTCGACTCGAGACAGAAAAAAAAGGAAATTCGAAAATAAGCCACAACACCCACGTCTTCTTACTGTTACGACATCAACCGAGCAATGACAGAACGCTATTGCCAACGATCGAGTCAAAGTGTCGAAAGAAACAAAAAATCGAGTCTCTTATGTATAACCACGAGAATCTTCGTTACAAAAGAGTTACAAAAGAAAAAAAACGCTGCGTTGATACGCATATGAGATCGAATCCTCGTTCGAGTTTTTGAATATAGTACCTGATATGCACGACAATTTGTACTGAAAACAACATGTCCAAAATTGCAATTTTTGTAAAACAAAACTTTAATGTGGCCGTACAAATTTACATCTACTACACCTACTTTGTGCAGGTAATAAACAGACGCACGCGCAAAAGAAAGATATACACAGACACAAATTGAAATGTAAATTACAAAAAACTTTTCAGGTTTTCTTTTTCCACCACAATCTTTTACAGCGCTTCGTTCACGTACCAAAGAAAGTCAGAATAATTGTTATCACATTTTATCGAGCGAAATATTACGAAAACAATAACAATTAAAAAGAAGTGAAATAATTATTCTTTTTCACTGTCATTGTACAAGAAGACGACATAAGACATCGCAGCTTTCACAACCTAAAAAGTAACATTACGATCACGTAAGAGATACTTAGTCAGATTTAAATAATACTTTTATATTCTTACCAAAGCAAAATTTTCCAGTTTACCCGCAAACATATTACCGATTGATAATACAAAGTCTTTGTTAGTTCGTCGTATTAGAAACAAGATAAGGTTTTGCGATGATACAGGCATTAAATACCACGACGTACCATATCTAATAAGTAATCAAAATGTATCACACCTTGCGACAGTATTAAAACTTTCAACCAATATACTTTACAGAGATAAAAAATGTAGTTAAGAAAGTCTTTATGAATTGTATATAACACATCTATATATGGCCATCTAAATGTTATATTTCAATGGTGTTTAACATGTTTCTGTGGGATATATCACATTGACAATAATAATTAAAAGTTGTTTTGAAACGTAAAGAATAAAATGTTTGTTATAATAATATTTTTTATAATAAGAAAATATATAAAATAA